CATGAGGGGCAGCGCAGGGGGGCGGCTGAAGAAGGGCAGGACTGAGGGGGGCTTCTCCATGCGGGCGGGGGGCAGCGCGTTCTCTGTCGGCGTTGCCCGGCCGTCCACTGCATCCATGGAATCTCGGGAGTGGGCCCGTGGTGGCACACCTGGAAGTGGCACAGGGAAAACAGCTGTGAGGTGCAGCTGGAGGGTGTCCAGGTCTCCGAGACCTCCTCCTCCTCCTCCTCCTCCTCCTCCCACCCCTGGAGGGCTGGAGGTGCCCAGAGGGAGATCCAACCGGCCACACATAGCCTCTGCTTCCATGTGTTTTTCTGCATGGTGCCCTGGGGACAGGCAGGTCACAGGGACAGGAGCCAAAAGCCACAAGGAATGGTGAGAGATCCCCAAAGGCATCCAAAGACCCAGAGAGCCTGAGATCCACACATGGATTTGGAGAGGCCCAAGCGTGGAGGAATACAAGGGGACAGAACCCAAGTGCTGACAGCAACAGAGCTCCTGCCAGAGGAAGGAAAACTCAGCATTCCAAGGGGGACAAGAAGCCTTGCTCTATCCAAAGAGACTTTGAGGATGAGACAGAAGGGGTGTGGCAGGAGCCACGGCTCCCAGTGGTGCCAGAGGGTGCATGGGAGCTCAGCTGTGCCCTGGGGGCAGCCGGAACTTGGCCCAGGGAACACTCCCTGCTCCACCTAAACTTCAAGGCAAGTCGGGACACAGCCTAAGCACCAAGCAGCTGATTCCCTCAGGCACCGGAGCCAAAGGAAGGGAGCGAAGCAGTTCTGCTGGGAAAGGGGAGTTTTCCTTGCATAAAACATGCCAAGGGATCTACAATGACTAGAGCTGGCCAAGACCTCCTCGGACACGCTCCTGCCAGGACAATCCCTGCAGATCCCATCGCATCGCTGCGGAGTGAGGCCAGGACCACCTATCGCCATTGAGGGACGCCCACGGCCAGGCCCCAGCTGGAATATTCCTCCAGTGTTGGGCACCTTACCTCCGCAGGGATGGAAAAATTCTGGAGCAGATCCAGAGAGGAGCTACTAATAGATATGGAGGGTCTTAGCTATGCTGAGAGCCTGAAGAGCTTAAGCCCATTCAGTTTGGAGAGGAGGAGGAGGAGGCTACGAGGGATCTTCGCAGTGTGGGAGCACCTAAAAGGGGATCATAAAGACTCGGGTCAGGAGCTAATCCGGCTCAAGAATGGGAAAAACAACCCCCAGATGCTCCTGGCAGGGTCTCCCCCCATCCCGAGGGCTCGCTGTGCTGGGCCTGGCAGCTGATCCAGGGGAGTTTTGGGATGCGTGTGAGGTGGAACCCCCCGCCCGTGTCACACCGGCGCCACACTCACGTTTGCGAGCCTGAGCCTCGAACTGCGACAGGTTCTGCCGGGTCGCCAGCCTCACCTCCACCTTGTCTCCATTCAGGATCTTTCCGGGAAGCAGCTCCAGGAGTTTATGGACCGAATTCTCGGAGGCGACCACCACCTCCGCATACCTGTGCAGGAGAGAGGGAGGTTGAGCCCTGAACCTACTGCAGAGACCCCCCCAGACTCTCCTCCTGATCCCCCCATCCCACTGTTCCATGCCCCCTCCTTACTTTTCCATGCTATTTGGGATCTTCCATGAATTCCCTGTGCCAGGCAGGAACAGCGTTGGCTGCTCCCTCACCCTCCACAAAACAACGGATGTGGCAGTGAGGGCCTGGCTCCCACCATTCCCACCTGAAATTCCATTGGCTCTCACCCCTTGGATTGGCCATTGGCTCGGTTCTCCGCGAATTTCAGCTCCACCACGTCGTAGACTCCGACGGAGCGGATGGTCTGGATCAGCTGCTGGTCAGTCGTCCACTGAGGGCATAGGGAACAGGCTGGTGTCCATGTCAGTCTCCAGTGTCCCCCACCCACCTAAGGAATGTCACCCCCAGACTCCCTCAGGGAGCTTAAAATCATCTGGAACAAGCCTTGGGAATGGATAACAGAGACAAGTTCTCCAGACAAGACAGGGCCTTCCCAAAATTGTCCCTGCATCCATGAACAGGAGAAGGCGACTCAGGAGCAGCACCCCAAAGTCACAGCTTCAAAGGGATACTGGCGGATACCCCATCCCGGAAGCTCCTCAGGGATACAAATCCCTTTTCCTTGAGGATCACAAAGCCAAGCCCAGCTCACAATGCAGCCCAGGACACCAGCTCAGGATTGAGGAGGAACAGGCCCCTCAAAATCCCTGCCACTCCCCTAGAGAGCCCAGCAGCCTCTCAGAGGTTCCCCAGGAATCCCAAATTCCCCAGGAAGATGAACTCACCCAGGAGAAGCTCCCAACGTAGACGGCAGCCCTCTTGTTCCGGAGTCCGCTGTAGGTGTACAGGATGGCCGGGGGTTTGCTGTTGGGCTTGGGAGACGGCTCCTGACGGATCTCTGGAGGCGCTTCCGAGCTGCTGGAACGCTTTTCCTGGGGCTGGGAGCTGGCTGCTAACACGTCGTCGTAGAGATCCATCTGGTCAGCATTACTGAACTCCGGGTCCTGCTGGGAAAACGTCATGAGCTCCTGGCTTGGGAAGGGCTTGGGAAGCCTTCTTTGCTGTTTCCAAACCTGCTGTCCCAATTCCCAAGCGGAATTTCCAAGCTGAGACCAAAGGTTTAAGGCCCAGATTGCTTGGGTTGGGTCTGCACATAGTTGGGAATTACACCCACCCCTTGCCTGGGCAATCCCAAAAAACAGGATGATGGGCTCTGATTTAAAGGGATCATGGAATGGTTGGGGTTGGAATAAGGACCTTATCCCTTCCCACCCTCTGCCATGGGACGCCTTCCACTATCCCAGGTTGCTCCAAGCCCTGTCCAGCCTGGCCTGGAACACTTCCAGCGATGGAGCAACCACAGTTTCTCTGGGAAATCCATTCCAGGGCCCCACCATCCTCACAGGGAAGAAATTCTTCTCAATATCTCATCTAAACCCCCACATTCCAAGGACCAGCCCACTTGGATCTCGCACAACAGGAGAAGACCCTGTTGCTGCCACCAGAAAGAAATTCCCAATTTGGAGGGCAAGAATTCAGTGGTGAAAAAACAAATGTCCTCCAGGGACGAGCCTCTCGCTCCTTGGCAACACACACTTTCCAAAAATCCAACTTGGGAATTGTACACCCCTCTGCAAACTGTCCCCAGCACCCCAAACTTGCTCATTTTTTTTGGAAAAAAAGCTTTTTAGGGTAGGAGCTCCCACACATTGGATCTGTCCCCTTGGCAGAGGAAGCTCAGGCAGTTCCAGAGCTGGGAATTCCAGCATGTCCTAGATCTGCCTCCCAATTCCCACTCTGTCCAGGCTATATTTAATTTGGAGTGTCCAGCAAGTGCTGGGATCTACTATGGATCCCAGTTCCTTGTCCAGACTGTACCGCATGTTTCATCCCACAAAATCACTCCATGAGGATCCATCCCACAGGAGCTGGTGTGCCATAAAAAACAGGGGTTCTGCTCCCAAATTTTCAGTTCCAGGGAGTTTGGATAATGTTTTCTGCTGAAGACTGATTGCAATTGCAAACATTCCATTGGGAGTGGGACAGAGAAGGATGCTCAGCACACAGCTTTCCACAAGGATTGTGGAAATCCGGGAATCCACAAGTCCAACCATTTTCCCCTCTCCCTGAACTTTTGCATCCAGCTCTTTCCCTGGAGCTGATAAAAGAAGAATTTGAAAAGGGAGCTGTAGTTTTGTGTTCATTCCCCAAAAAAAGCTCAAGTGTTTGGTTAATCCAACTCCCACGCTCCCACCTCCACCAGGAGCCTTTGGACACAGCCCAAGGCTGGAAGATTCCCGCCTGGAAGTTTCAGAAAGTCAAGACCAAAAATAGGAAGGAGGGGCTAGAAGAGGAATCCCTTGGAATCCCTCAGTTCTGCTACTTAGGGGATGCTTCAGCTTGGGAGATTTTAGGGATTCTCCTGCTCCCAATCCATGCACACTGACTTGAGGTGCACAGAGACGAAGCTGGGCACTGTTAGAGGGAATCACCATGTGGGAATGTGGGATTTGGAATTATACTGGCATCCCTCGAGTGCCACAGGGACACCACAGCACCTCCCCACTGCTTTGATCCTGGGCATGGATTAATTCCAGGTTTCCTCCTGCCACATATCCCAAAGAGAGTGACATGCCAGAGTCATTGGCCTGGATCATCATTCCAGCTTTGAGAATCCTCCATCCACTTGGTCTTCCCAGGAGATTCCATGGAATATTCTCACCCAATAACCAGAAGAAGCTTCTCTTGATCACTCCAGGAGCTCTTAGGAATTCCTTTCTCCATGGTGATTCTTTTCTCCGAGTGCTTTGCTTCCAGTTTCCATGACTTTTCCTCTTGCCAACTTCCCTCCACAGGCTTTCCATGGCAGTTTCTAATTTTCCAACATCTGCCTTCACACTTGCTTTCCCATATCCATGAACGCCCTAAAATCTGCTTCTCCAACACCCCCTTCCGTCATCATTTCCTGCTGTGAATCCCAGATATTCCTGGGATGGGACAAGCAGCACAGGAACAGCGAGTTCCTGCACAGCTTCCCAGCCTGGGTGATCCCATGGATTTGGCTCCTGGTACCCTCTCACTGTGTAATTCCCTGGAAGTGCCTCTTCCAGCTGGGATTTCTCATTTTTCCAACCAGGACACAGCTAAGCTCTCATATCCCAAACATTCCGTGACCAGCCACGTGTCACAACCTGCAGGGAAACCCTTTAATCACAGCTGGAGGTGGCAGCCACTGAGATTTGGGAATGATTGGGAATGATCCTGCCCTTTTCCCAGGTACACCAAATTGCATCTTCCACCGGGATGAGCTGCAGGACACTGGGATATCTTCCCAAAAAAAAGGGGGGGGGGGGAATCTGCACCCCCATCCCAGCCCTCACCTGGGTGAACTCCTCGTCGGCGTAGATGTCAATCAGATCCACTCCCTCGGACATATTTCCAGAGGCGGGAAAAGCGGGAGCCCGGGCTGGGACCGGGCGGAGCCAGGACACGGAAGGTGCTCTGGGAAGGAGGGGCAGGGGGTCAGCGAGGCCTTGGGGACACGGTGCGGGGGAGGGTGTCCCCCAAATCCCTGTGTCCCCCAAATCCCATTTCCTCACCCCAATCTCTGTGGGCCCCTTAATCTCCTCTTCCCTCCAAATCCCTGTGCCCCCCTAAATCCTTTCTACCCCCTCAATCCCCTCTGCCTCTCAAATCTCATGACGCCCCTAAATCCCTGTTCCCCCTAAATCCCTTCTCCCCTCTAAATCCCTGTGTCCCCCCAAATCCCTGTGTCTCCCCCGAATCCCCTCTGCTCCCCAAATCCCTGTGCCCCCCTAAATCCCGTGTACCCCCCAAATCCTTCCGTTCCTCCATATCCCGTCTCCGCCCCCCAAAATCCCTGTCTCCCCCCAAATTCCTTGTGCCCCCATGA